CCCCCCACCCCCCACCCCCCACCGCCGTCCATCATCTCTTTAAGAAATGAGACCTCTTCTCCAATAGCACAATAGCTGAATTCAGGTTCTTCCAGGGCAGTTATCACAAGACTACTGTATGGCCATTCAGATATGTAGCAACTCAATGTGCTCAAATAATGTGTCAACTATTGAAGCCATTTCCTGCTGCGTTTTTCCTTTTAAAGAAAACTTTTTGTTTACTATGCTTACGAGGTAAAAGTTTATACAGCTCATTGTAGGAAAGAAGATATTTACATTAACTTGGGTGGTTAATAAAGACATAGGTGTTTTCACCCATTCTATTAGAAGAGCCAGAAAACAAAAAAAGGGTAACATATCTTATTTTGGTCTCTGGGGTTCACCTTCTATTTCAAGGGTGTGAGCTTCTCATTTGTTTCTCATTCTAGAACAATAAGAGAAAAAGAAGCAAGTCCAAGCAGCATCAAGGCAACAAAGATGCTAAAGACAAGGCAGAGAGGCCCGAAGCAGGGCCTGTGCAGCCACCGCCGCCAGAGATACAGAATGGCCATGTCAACGGCTGTGAGAAGGACAGCTCATCCACTGATTCTGCCAGTGAAAAACCAGCCCTTGCCCCCCGTGAGAAAAAGATCTCAATACTCGAGGAACCTTCAAAGGCACTCCGTGGGGTCACAGGTCAGTTATCCTTAAGTAAAGTTGTTTAGGCAGACATCGAAGAAAAGGATGCCAAGGGACCCACTGGGACAGTCATTGCTACTGTTGATGTTGTTGGAAGGGAAAGATTGTTCTTTTATGGTGTCCACAGATTCAAGCGGTCTTCTCGCAGGATGGTGGAGGCGGGGAGGAAGGTGACAAGGCTAGAGAAGAAGTGTGCAATCTAGCCCTGCACTAAGTCAGAGGGTTTTTTAAACTAAAAAATATAGTTCTAGTCTGTATTGGGATCATCAGGAAAAAGGAAATTCCAGTTTAAAGAAATTTTCTTTGAAGACACTTTTGCTGGGATAAGGGAGGGATAATTGGTGACCAAAGGAAATGTTATTAAAGGGTAGGCCAAGTTATTTTAACTCCTGGTATTTTGTATTATGTGATAGAATATATATCCCAGGGTGTTAGAATCTGGAATGTTAATTACTTGTGCTATAGCTATACATTCATTACTCAACAAAAGGCTACTTAATCAACTGTATGACCTTGGGGGCATCATTTCATCTCCAGTGTCCCATTTCTTTTCTGCAACATAAGGCAGCTGTACAGGAATCTACTGGATCAGTGGTCTTCAATACTGTCTGACCCGATGCTCTATTTTTATATCAAATACTAAAATAAAATTCATAGATAATATACTCTACCTAGAAACAAAATGTCAATAATATAAAAACATAAGAAGTTCAAGAACAACTAAAATAGAAGGCCTAATAAAATGGCCAGATGTTCACACCCAATTATAATGAATCACTTTGCACTTAAAAGAAGGGAGACAGTACTCAACTGGGTAACGTGAACACTGTTTATTTATATGTGATATGTGAAGTAAGAACTGAATAAGTATATTTTTATGTAGACATGGGATCACTGTGAACGCAGCTGCTACGAATACAGACTGACAAGTGCTGATTGTCAACTCAAATAATGTGACTGCCCATGTGATTGGCCACGGGATTTTCCAAATGGTGAAAAACTCTTGGTAAAGTTCTGAACACCAAAGAGTACAATTTTCTCTTAATTTCCACAGTAGTTGAACCCTAGAAATCCAAGTAAACCTTGGAAGTCCATAGGAAAACTGTACAAAAAATACTTGGGTTTACATGTCATGTGTCTAGGAGGATGTGAGAAAGTTCAGGTTACAGGGCAGTTCTTCATTGTGTGGGATTCCTGTGATTGTGAGTCATTTAGCATCCTGCCCCCAACACCCACCCATACGCAATCATTTAGATAAATTTTAAAAGTGCCCTGTTTTTCAAAATGCCTCCTAAGATAAACCAGGGATGAATAAGACAGGGGCCCTACGTGAGAAGAGTTTAGTCTAGCAGAAAAGACAAGGGCAAACAGAAAATCACATAGTAACCAGTATTGAATCAGGGATACCATGAGGAAGCATTAAATAACACACTAGGAAGTTTTTAAATTGTTCACAAAGCTCTAATTTTCTTCCATACACACATTACCTAACAACACTATTAATAGTGCTATAATTCAGATAATCCTTACTACACAAGGATTTCTTAAAAACAAACAACGAAAATCACCTACTTCTATTTAGAATCTGGATTTTCCAGTAATCTTTTCATTCAGCTTTTCCTCTGCCTACAATTTTGAGAGTGTTTTGATTTATAGTCAGGGCAGGAGAAAGAAATTAAATAATCGAGTGGCACATTCCCAACTTTGCTTGTGATTTGCCTTCACACCAATTATTTCAAAAGCTAATTACTCAAGCTGCTGTTGTGATATCAATCATACACTAAAAGCGCAGCACATATAGTTGTTCATTTACTTATAATTTATACCTTCTTCCTAAAGCAATTTCAGTAACTCTATCAAGTATATGACATTAGAGCAAATGCAGTATTGAATCGCTTCACTTCACGGTGGATAGCTGCCTTGAAAGTTAAGTACCCATCCGACGAGTTCTCTGTACCAGGGGGCTTTTGTGAACCCTATCATGAAACTTTTGGCGAAGAATACTTTATTGCACAAAGAGCCATCCCAGTATCCCTTCGGTTTTATAAGCTTAGCATGAAGGCATTGAGGTATGTCAGTATTATTTGTTAGTAATTAATAATACAAATCTATCACTCATGTAAATTTTTCTGTTAAAGAATACAATGATGATAATGGAAGGTTATTAGATGTTTTTGCAAAAGGAAGGGAATCCTCCTGGTTGACCATTCATAAGCAGCTCACTTATTGTGATCATAAATTTTAAAATGAGTTTATAACTAGTTAAGTTTTCCTTCCCAAAGATAATGAAGGTTCATCGGGAAGTTGATACCAAAACTGTCAAATGACTCTGAAATGCTTATTCAGTCTATCAGAAGTCCTGAGGCCTCTGCTAGATATTTCACAGATGAGTGTTGGGTCTCGGGCATTCCGCACCCCATTTTGAGTAGACCTTTGGAACTGAAAAGGATGGGAACGATTCCTTACTCCCCTCACTTTATAGCTGAGGAAACCAAGGCCCTTGGGTCGAGAAACTGAGAAGACCCACACCCGGGGGTAACTCTCTTTGGTTAGCAAAAGCCTGACTCAAATCGATGCAATTTTATGCACATGTTAGAGAGTTATTGCTAAAACCGCAGGCTCCCTTACTCCTAAAAGGTGTATAATTGAAAAATTAGGAAAAAGTAATCATAACAAAGCTAGATAATGGTATTCTGTACTTGAGTGAGTTCGAAGTATGAGCGTAAAAGAAATCTCCAGTCTGCTAGTGGTGGAGCATTTATCAAGCTTTCCAATAATGAAACTGCCTCAGGAAAGCCTGTTCTGAATGCCCAGCTGGGCAGCAGGCTGTGAACATGTGGAATGCATGTTTTATCTTTTTATAACACCTTGACATTCAAGATCTCTCTTTTTAAAAGTTTTAAAAGGATCATTTTCTGGTAGGAGAAAAGTTAACTTTAAGATATATGCAGGTGGTTCCAGGGTGTTAGTGTGACTTCCCACATGAAACATAACCACCCAAAGCATCATCATTTCAGGCTGTAAATATAGTACTGTCGAGTGGGACAACACTGCATGTCAGCATATAGCTTTGAAGTTGGGGAGTTTGATTTAAACTTAGTACAAAATTACTTTTTTAAGCCTTGGAGTAGTTTTTTCTGTATTTCAGCATTTTTAATAACAGCTCAAATTAGATCTTTTACATAATCCAATCAAGATCATCTGCGTCCAAGTACAAACTCAGACAAGGAGTAGATCAAGATTTAGTTTTACCAAATGTAATGCCAAGGATCACTTTTATTTCTAAGGCTCCATCTAAATGACTAAAGCACATTATACCCTTAGGGTTCAGTTCTCTTAAATGTTGCTCCTGCACTACTTTTCTTAGGGCTCAGATTGCTGAAATGTATAGGCGCTTATCGCCGTTGGGGCCAGAACAGGAATTCAGATTCCTGTGTTGTCTTTCTCCCTCTGGACACAATTCCCATCCAATAGGAAAGGAGCAGGATTATGGGCCACCAACTGGCTCCATTGAGATAAACTTGGGGGCGGGGCTTTCCTTGTCTTCAGCTTCTCTTCCCAGCAGGCTTCCTTTATATCCTCTCATCTTGTCAAGCGTCCTGGGAAGCCAGCTCTTCTGTTACCTGTTACTTGTCTCGAACAGAAGGCCCCATGCAGTGTTCACTGACCTCCACAAACCAGACTTCGCAGCCTGCCCTGTATTGGAGGACAGGAGCAGCTCCATCATTTTACCTTTGCAGTGCAGATTCTGTGTTTGGCATGCCTCTGGCACAGAACTGCTTTCTCATTCTCTAGGTGAACTGAACCAAATGTGAGAGAAAGGGTCCTGTTATTTTAGAATGTTGGCCGCTTGTCTTTCATTTGTGCTTCTTATTAAAAAGCAACAACAACAACAGACTGTTTTACAATATTTTTATGGTGTGAGGTTCCCTATAGGATTTCCAGGCAGATTTTTTAATGCTGTTGTTGGCCCTAGCTACAAGATTATTTCCCCTGCTTTTCTAAACCCTATATTGGACCAGAGGATTAGAAAAGATCAACAAGAAGAAAGCAGCTTGCCGAGAACTTTAATAGAAAAGCCAAACGTGTATATTCCAGGATTTCAGCTGTGCCAGCTCTCAGATGGAAGCAACATAATATCGTAGCTAAGAACCAGGGCTTTAGCATTAAACATGTTTGGATTCAAATATTGGCCTTGTCTCTTACTAGGTGTGTGACCCAGGACAAGCTAACCGCTCTGTGTTTTTATCTTCACTTGCAAAATATTCTACTTTACAAGATTGTGGTGAGCAGTAAATGAGATACATAAAGTGATCAGCACAGCATCTGGCACAAAGTAAACCCTCAAATCATTTCTTTATCTATCCAGGAAATGTTTTAAGCATCTAACATGAGCCAGGAATTCTTCTAGAAGAAGTAAACAAAATTAAAAAGGTTTTGCCCTCTTGGAGAGATGCATAGTAAAGCAGAATACAGCTGAATGATTATAGATTATAGTAAATGTTGTGAAGCCAGCAAGTAGGAGAGAGACTGGGGCAGGAAGGGAAGTGTGGGTAGCAACTTCAGATAAGGCCATACGTGACATGAGTGAATGAAGAGGAGATATGGATGCTGAGACATTAAGGCTGAGGATGCCCCTGTTCACATTCTGTCACATCAGGCTATCTTGGTCTGAACAGCCAATGTTTTATTTAAACTTTAATTAAGGATTATTTTAGGTGAAGCCCTTGTAGAGTTATAACCATTGGTTTTTAATTAAAGATATAGTACTTTATTCGTATATATAGCTGACATTAAGTACTGTCATGTGAACAGGCGTTTTGAAGCTTATATTTTAGAGCCCATTTATCATTATTCTCACTCTATTATTTTGGCATCAGATCCTTGGTGTTAACTCTTGTCTGTAGTTGTGTGTTGTTCAGTCTCAACATCAGCTTCCAGCAGCACTGTGTCTGAACTGTTCAGGTAGTATTAGGGGTGGCCTTACGTTGTGTTTT